ACACACATACACACACACACACCCCTCTGCTTCTTACCACAGGGAAGCACACTCCACCTGTCCCCTGCCCCCTCCCAGAGGAGATGACTGTGTCAGGTTTGTATAACAGGATGTGAAAATTGGTCTGTAATTGTGGCAAGTGAGGGAGAAAGGTGAGCTCAGGAAGCCCAAGCCCAGTCAGGACAGGCTGCAGCTGAGTGCCTGTGTGTCTCATTGATCATATGTGTGTATGTGCGTGCTGTCCTAGTGTGTGCATGCCATATTTGACAGTTTGGATTTATGTGTTGGGAGGTGTTAGGTGGGAGGAATAAGGTCTCATAACCCACCTATGTACTTCCTCATCAATTACTTCAGTATGTGTAATTTCTGGATGTGGTGCCCTTGTACAGTATACAACCTAAGCAACTGTATGTGGTAGCCTTGCCCTGTTTCCTTCTGGTCTTTGATTCTGCTGTCCCACTGCTGGGAACGTTCTCTTGCCCACTTTTTGTTTGGTTAAGTTCTTAGCTTTCATGTATCAGTGTCCCCAAGTTGGGATTGGGGGTTCAACCCTCATGCATTCATATACAGACTGGCTGCTACTCCATATAGGACAAAACACCCCAGAAATAGAAGTTAAACAAATTGTAAAGTCATACTGTTTCCAATTCAAATTTTTTCTGTTGTTGAGATCAGTCTTTTTAAAAATTAATTAATTAATTAATTAATTATTGTCTGCGTTGTGTCTTCGTTGCTGCGTGTGGGCTTTTCTCTAGTTGCGGTGAGCGGGGGCTACTCTTCGTTGCTATGCACTTCTCATTGTGGTGGCTTCTCTTGTTGTGGAGCACGGGCTCTAGGTGCACGGGCTTCAGTAGTTGTGGCACACGGGCTCAGTAGTTGTGGCTCGTGGGCTCTAGAGCACAGCCTCAGTAGTTGTGGCACATGGGCTTAGTTGCTCTGTGGCATGTGGGATCTTCCCAGACCAGGGCTTGAACCCGTGTCCCCTGCATTGGCAGGCGGATTCTTAACCACTGCGCCACCAGGGAAGTCCCTTCAATTCAAATTTAAGGTAAGGATTTAACCTAAGGATTTTGCCTTAATTTCTTTGATTTTGTATTTGTCACTTTTTTATGTTAATGATCTTGGATTCTAATGCCATTTATCTAGTTAATTATTTGTTTTATATTACAGCATACACAAAACAGTTTCAAACTAACACCAATATTACTACTACTACTAGGACTATTAAATGTAGTATAAAATTTCTCTATTTCTTTTTACCCTTCTTGTGCTATATTCCTAGTGGGCTGTTCAAAGTAATGAATTTAAAGTTAGTTGAATAGTTTTTCTCTTGTGATCATGTCAACTTGAAATAGAATTGAGAAAATTGGTTTCAGTTTGCATTTTTAGGGGCCACTTTATTTTCCCATTAGGTTTAATTTTTTAAAATTATGTAAAACATTTACCTAGCTCCAAAGTAAAAATTATAAAACAAGTTGTATTCAGAGAGTTTACCTTCCATCCTCATTCCCTCTCTCCTCTTATAGGTAATAATTTTCATTGGCTTTTTTTAAAATTAATTTTTATTGGAGTATAGTTGCTTTACATTGTTGCGTTAGTTTCTGCTGTTCAGCATGGACAGCTACATGTAAAAGAATGAAATTATAACACTCCCTAACACCATACACAAAAACAAATGGACTAAAGACCTAAATGTAAGGCCGGATACTATAAAACTCTCAGAGGAAAACATAGGCAAAACACTCTTTGACATAAATTGCAGCAAGATCTTTTTCAATTCCACTGCCTAGAGTAATGAAGATAAAAACAAAAATGAACAAATGGGACCTAATTAAACTTAAAAGCTTTTGCACAGCAAAGGAAACCATAAACAGAACGAAAAGATAACCCTCAGAATGGTAGAAAATATTTGCAAATGAAGCAACTGGCAAAGGATTAATCTCCAAAATATACAAACAGCTCATACAGTTCATTAGCTTTTGGTTTATCCTTGTTTCTTTTTGAAAACATAAGTAAATGTGCACACACACATACTCCTCCTGTTACACAAGAGGTAGCAGATTTTACACACCATTCTTCCCTTGCTTTTTAAACAGTTCGTCATGGAGATCCCTGCATGCAACATACAGAGATAATCCTTAGTGTGTCGTTGGTCCATGTTCACACTGGGCATTCCCAGCATGTGCCACTTGTGCCTGGTGGGGCTGGAGTGTGCCCGTTGGAGTCCATTTGTCAAAGATTCCATCCTGGGGAGAAAAAGGAGGCAGGCACATCGGGGGTGATCCTGTAATGAAGCTGTGGCTGTTTGGAGGGGTGGGTATTCCTGAGGACAGCGTGGTGGCTGTTTCTGGAATCTTCCCCTTCCCTATCCCTGGACACCTGTCTAGCTCCTGGGATAAGAGAAGCAGTCAGCAAAGGCTGCTGAGTTTTCTCATTGCAAACTCTGCTGGAGGGCCCTGTTCACAAAGTGACATGATAATAAAGGGAGTTGTGTCTCCAGGCTCCCTTCCCCACATGCACCTTCTGGTCGCAGCCCAGGGCTCCACATGGAGTCAGACTGTGTCCAGTGGGAGAGGCAGCGGAGCTGCTCATGATCACACGGGAGAAACCTCTCAGGGCGCCTAGCAGCGGTGGCAAGATGGGAAGGATGGGGCTTATCCAAGGGCTAAGTGACCACTGAGTGCGCCACTGAGCAGTAAAAGACAAACAAACCACCCTAAATTAATCTAATATGCAGCCAGTGTAGAAACCCCTTCTTTTCTAAGTTCATCTCTTATAATAACTTGTCCAACACAACCAATAGCAGCCAACATGCAGTGCTAACATTGTTTTTAGCATCTTCTTCTGAAGTGATAAGTTCATTAGGCTGTGTCATCTGTTGGTGACAGTGCTGTCAAATGTTTGCCACTTCATAACATGAACCTCCTTCCATCCAGCTTTGTTTAATATCGTCTTCACTGCCCTCTCCCTTCACTGCCCTCTCCCTTCACTGTCTCTAAGCCAGTTGCACATACTTTGGTGTTTTATTTCAGCATCAGAATTCTTCCAGGATCTTCTAGGATAGGTTAGGTTATGGTTGGGCAGCAAACAAAGCTCCAGCAAAATCTTAGTGACTTATAACTACAAAGGATTCTTTTCTCACTAAAGTTACATAGACTTGGAAGCTTACTTAGTAACTTATCTTTTTAGCTTTTAGGTCTCTGAATTGAAAGGTACCACATCCTGACTTGATGCAGAGACTACTGTGCACCCCCCAGGGGCCTTGGACTTGACATTGTGATAGTCTGGGACTTTGTTTGGTTGTCTCCTTTGGGGAGTAGAGAGTGTACATTGCCTATGGGACAGACAGTGAGTCAAATGTTTGGCAAGATTTCGTTCGTAGCCACAAGTGCTGCTCCCAGATTATTTGGGGTGTTGGCCTTCTGGGCATGTCCTGGATGGTACTTCCCTTCCCGCATAGAGTCAGGAGTGAACTGCTTTGGACAACGGATTGTGTGTGGAAGTTACACAGGTCCTTTCCAGCTGGAAGCTTGAAGAGCCTGTGTGGCCACACAGTGGCTGTTCTCTCAGCTGGGACCTGGAGAAAGAGGGCATGGGGCAGAGCCCCCAGGTGGCGTGGTGAGAATTAAAGTCTTATCTTTTTAAACCCTAAGGTTTGGGGTATTTGTGACCACAGTGTGTGTCGTTTTGAGGTTGTTTCTTACTACTATGCTATCCTGACTGATATAGAAGGAAATGCCCCTCTTCTGCTTGGCACAAAGTGGTGCTTGGAGTTGCAGCATCCATCTGATGACTGAGAGATAAAGATAACACACTGAGAAAGGATGCTGGAGACGAAAGATGGAAAGGGAACCTGGGTCCCTGGGGTAGAGCCACTGAATTAGCCCTTGGGCTTTCCTACCCCCAGCCTCCCTGTTATATGAGAAGCCAAAGTCCTTATTCATGGCCTCTGGTAGGTATTGTTACTTGCAGCTGCGCAGGTGGTATGGTGGACAGAACAATGGCCCACCAAAGACGTTCATAGCCTAATCCCCAGAACCTGTTATGTTATCTCACCTGGGGAAGGGGTTATTATTGATGTGATTAAATTACAGATATGGAAACAAGGAGATTCTCCTGAATTATCTGGGTGGGCCCAATGTAATCACCAGAGTCCTTCTAAGAGGGAGGCAAGAAGGTCAAAATCAGCAGACCAGCAAGGAAGCAGAGGTTGTTGGGATGCACTTTGAAGATGGAGGAAGGGGCTGGGACCCTACAAATGCAGGCAACTTCTAGAAGCTGCAAAAGATGAGGAAAGGGATTTTCCTCCTGGAGTCTCCAGGAGGGGTCCCGCTCTGCCAACACCTTGATTTTTAGTCCTGTAAGATCCATTTTAGACTTCTGACCTCCAGAACTTTAACAATAAATGTTTGTTACACAAGCCGTAGGAAACTGATACGAGTGATGTCCATTAACCCAATGACAGCAGACAGCGACCCAACTGCCAGCTACACTACACCCCCAAGAGTCATCTCCCCAGCAGGGTGGTCTTTGGAAGCTAACATTTCCTTTATACTTAAAAGGAGAATCAATAAAGTATATGAGACTTAGAGAGAGGAAAGGAATGAACATTGGTCACTTGTTAAAACAACAGAAGGAGGGTGCTGGGAGATGAGTTAGTGTTTGTTCATTGCCTTGTTCTGTTTGCATCTCCCAGCTACTCTGCAGGCCCTGGCCACCCCCAGATTACAGTAATATTAAAGTTCATTGGAATGCCCAGTTTGGGGGTGGCAAGGATTTGAGCTGAGCTGCAGCTGAGTTGGGACTGTAACAGGGAAGAGCCAAATCAGACTGCATGTTTCTTTTACTTTAACCTTTGCTTTGGCTGCTTTTGTTCACTAAAAGGATACTGTCTATACACAGTGGCCTGCCTCGGGGAACCCTGCCCCTCTGCCTGAACGTTAAACCAAAGTGCCTTTGTTCAGGGAAACATTTGGACCCTGTCCACCTGTGGCTGGTTACAAGAAAGCAGAAATTAACGCATCCCCTCCCTGAGGCTGGCCATTCCAGGTGATATTTGAAAAACTTACGCCTTTTTACTTCCTTGTCTCCTCCCCCTCTCTGTGCTATAAAAGAAACTGGCATCCAAACCCCCATAAGATGGTTGTTTTGAGACTTTGCCATCTTTTCGGCCTGCTCTCTTTCATAATAAAGTCATATTCCTTGCCTCAGCACCTCATCTTCCATTCATTGGCCTGACCCCAGAGAGCAGAGTGAGCTTGGACTCCGTAAGGAGACCAGAGCATGGCCTGGGGCATCTTGGGTCTCGGTGGCAGAGAGGCTGGCACAGGAGGTCCTCTGAGTAAGATGTCACAGCTCTGAGCAACCAGGACCCCCGTGCCCACAGCGTACCCTGTGTCTACCTCACCAACTCCCCCTCTAGGGTTCTAATACTTCTTGTGGGCCAGCGACTGGAGGGACAACTGAGCCGTGGGCATGGGCGGCAGAAACTAAAGCCCCAGGGCCAGGCAGTAGTTTGTTCCAGGGGAGACCTCTGTAAGAGCCCAGATTCCCTGGCCTGTTCTTTCTTCACTTGGTGCCCAGGGAGTCGGTCGGGGCAGGGCCAGCGCGGGGGAGGGAGGGGACGAGCAGTTGAAGAGGGAGGAGACTGGGTGGCTGCATGCGGATGAGAGGGCGTGCGCTTCTCGGCCCCAAATGCCAGCAGCTGGAGGAGGTGCGCAGGGAAGCGGCCTCGCGGACGCGCCAGAGGACGGGCGGCGCGATGGAACCGGCGCCGGACCTGGGGCTCGGGGACTCGTCCTTGCACCGCTATCTGGACTGTGAGTTCTGGAGCCTCAAGAACGAGCTGCGCTGGCTTCTGGGCGGCTGCCCGCTCTTCCGGCACAGGTACCGGCCTCGTCGCCACCCCGCCCCGTGCGTCCCGCCGCCGGCCGCATCCCCTCGGTCCCCGCGCGTCCCTGCGGGCAGCGCCCTCCTGGTGCGCCCCGGGCGAGGGCGAGCTGGGGGTGTGGTTGCTGTGCCCGAGAAGCAGGTCCCTCCCGACTTGGCAGATGATGGACTGCCCTCCCCAGCCCTGTGGGCGCAGCAGAGGTGGCGACTTCATCTGCCCCTGGAGGTGTCCTCCGCCCGCCGAGCTCCCTCCTACACCGGGAGTCGGGGTGCACGGGTGGGCCCCCACAGCGGCGGGCGGGGTGCTCGGCCGAGAGTGGTGGCTGGAAGGATCGGCCTTGCTTCTAAACTTGTTTCTTGACTCCCTGCCTCCGCGTGTCCCACCCCTGCAGGGAATAAGGGGCAGAAAACGCAGGATGAGGCGGGAGTGGAGCGCGCCCAGGGCCACTGTGCAACCCTGTCCGGACCAGGAGCGCGGAAACGGGGGCAGAACAGCGTCTCTCGGGTCGTGCTTGCCGGGAAGTGAGGGCATTTTCCCGGCACAGGGGTGGACTGGCTCTGCCCAGGGTGTATCTGGTCGTCAGTGTGGGGCAGGCTCCCAGGGGCCCCGCGGAGTCCAGGTGTGCAGAGGGGCGGCCTAAGAGCAGCTGGGGTGCTTGGGTTGTAAGGTGGGCTCAGGTCCACGAGGTCATTTGATGCCAGGACAGCCCTGAGAAGTGGGCAGAGGGCTTGGTACAGCCTAAGTTTACAGAGGGAGAAAATAACCCAGGGACCGGCCAGTCAGGACCAGAACTCAACCCTTGTGTCTCAATGGGGACTGTTTCTCCTGTGCTATGTTGGGCGGCTGACCTCATCTCAGGCCGACTGATAAGCCCACTTTTAGAATCAGGCTTTGGAGTTTTAGTTTAAGAAAGCTCCAATTAAGAACACTAGTATTTTCCGAAGAAAGATTAACTACTTAGCCCACGTTTAGTTTATGTCTGAAGGTTGAGCTGGGCTGAGAGGGAAGGAGATGCTTGGAGTAAAAGCAGCCTGTCCTTGGCCAGGAAGCTGCGGTTTCTGCCCTGGTGGTACCCACTGGGGAGAGGGGAGCTTAGGGAAGGTGAAAGCTGACAGGTGTGAGATGGTGGGTGTGCCCTTGAGTGTCTCCCCACCTTCTTTTTCCTTCTCTCTCACACCTAGTTCTTTATGTCATGATTCTCAAAGCACGGTCCAGGGACTCCGGGCGGTACCCAGGACTCCCAGGAGCTTCACAAGTTAGAAATTATTTTAGTAATAATATGAAGCAGTTATTGGCCTTTTCATTCTCATTTTCTCACAAGTGTACAGTGGTAGTTCCCAGAGACTACATGATGTATAGTTTTCCAACGTGTCTGCAGAAGCAGATATGAGAATCCAGCAGTTTTAAGGCAGATATGAAAGAGAATTGTAAAAATGCAGAACAATGCTACTTTTCTAATTAAATTTTAATACTGTTATTTTCAAATGATTTAATAAATGTTTGAACAATTTTTCTGTTATAATTTCTGAAATGATAAATACCAATAGATATTTGGGGCCCCCAATAATTTTTTTAAAGACAATTTTAAAGAGCAGTTTTAGGTTTACAACAAAATTGAGAGGGAGGTACAGAGATATCCCATATACCCCCTGTCCTCACACAGACATAGCCCCCCCCTCCATTATTAACATCACTCACCAGAATGGTACTTGTTTTTTGTTTTTTTGTGTGTTTTTTTGTTTGTGTGTGTGTGTGTATGTATTTTTTTTTAACCAGAAATGAATCTATTGATTTATCATAATCACTGAGTCCACAGTTTACATTACAGTTCACTCTTGGTGGTGTACTTTCTGTGGGTTTGGACAAAAGTATAATGACATGTACCCATCGTTTGGTATCATATAGAGAATTTTCACTGCCTTAAAAATTCTCTGTGCTCTATTTTTCTCTCTCTACCACCCACCCCTGGCAACCACTGATCTTTTCACTGTTTCCATAGTTTTGCCTTTTCTACAATCATACAGTTGGAATCATATAGTATGTAGCCTTTTCAGATTGCCTTATTTCCCTTAGTGATATGTATTTAAGCTTCATCCATATCTTTTCATGGCCTGATAGCTCATTTCTTTTTCTTGCTGAATAGTATTCCATTGTCTGGATGAACCACAGTTTACTTATCCATTCATCTACTGAAGGCCATCTCGGTTGATTCCAAGTTTTGGCAATTATGAATAAAACTGCTATAAACATCTATGTGCAGGTTTTTGTGTGGAGGCCTCAATAATTTTTCAGAGGGCAAGGAGGTCCTACCGCTTTAAGTCGTATTTAGTCCTGTCACACCCCTTTTCCTATCTTCCTCCATCTTTTCAGTTTCGTTCATGGGCTGTCATCTCTTTGTCTTTTCAGTTTAGGTAACTGCAGTTTAAATGATGGGAAAGAATGCTAATATCCAAACTACTGATTTGGGCCTGTAGAAGGTTCTTTGCTGTGAATTAAACGGTCTGCTTAGGGACAGAGGGAAGGGCAGGCGGGGGCTGGAAAGCCAGCCGGCAGCTTATTGCCTGTGTGATTGTCATCAAGTGTGATTTTACCTTCCTGAGCTTACATTTGCTGATTCAAAAGAATGGGGATAATATCTGTGCCGCTGGATTGTTGGGACACTTATAAACTGTTGAGTAGCTGTTTAGTGTTGCTGGCTGTGGTGTGACACCAAAAAGGAAAAAAAAAAAAGGAGAAAAAAAGGTACAAATTACCCTAACAAACACTTTTCCATTCTCACCAGTTCTTGCTTATTGACCTCATAATTTCAGAGTTGAAATAAGAGCCTAAATTTCATATTGTTTTTCCCCAGTGATTAAAGATTGTGCTATCTGCTTGAAAGTTCACGTTGTATCAGATTTGATCTTACGGGGGTTAGAAGGCAGTGATCCTGATTTCTCGATGTTTTTTTTTTAACATTCTGCTGCAGTAAAACGCTCCATGGGAGGCCAGAAATAAAGCTTCTCTAGCTCAGATTCACTGAGGCAAGGTGAGGCCTCCTGTGGCCGGTCTCCCCTCCCCAGGCCTTTGAAGTTCAAGTAGGTATGGGAGGGGGTGGGGTTCATTAGTGTGAGTGCTGTGTGTATAGTGGGAAGTTTGTACAGGGTCCGGCACTCCCAGGACATAAGAGCCCAGGAAACAAAAAACAAAAACCTGGTTGTGCAGTTTTCTGTGCACATCACAGCTGCCCTCAGTGCAGGGATTCATCCACTAGTCCGCCTCCCCAGGTGTGGTGTGGGCACAGCCAAGGTCCCCCGTCTCTCCCCAAGACCAGCTTGCCAGGCCGAGTCCTTCCTGTCCCTACTCTGGTGGCGGGTCCCCCAGGCTCCGGGAATGCCCCGGCTGCTGAGGGTCACACCTGCCCTGTGGTGCATAGGACAGCATGTCCTTGACTGGGACCCCAGAGGATTCTGGGCCACTTGAGGCTCCTCCCTGGGGTTTGCAGGGAATATTTAAAAGCAACATCTGAAATGAGATAAGATTTTAAAATGTTTTTGAGTTTGTTTCTTGGCAAACCGGAGCTCTCTCCTGAGGGCCTGGGGGGCGAGTGGGCGTGCACAATGCAAGGCTTATAGGCCCCACCTGACCTTTCTGGGTCCCCCAGACCCCCTCACCACGCTTCCTCAGGGCTCCCCTCCCTGACCTGGCTGCGCTGGGCCTGCCTGTTTCCCCCTCCCCCTTGTTTCTCTTCACTGCCTTTTCTTTCCTTCCCTGGAGCAATGCACATTTCTCTTCCTTAACTTTTGCAAAGGTTTAGTTTTTCCCCTCAGTCTTCTATATACATGCAAGTATTTCATGAAAAACTTCTCATTGCAAAGAGTCAAATAATATGGAAAACGTGAAAGTTTCTTAAACTGTCCCCTCCCCCAACCATTTTTTCTTTTTTGATTGTGGTGAAATACACAGAAAATAAAATTTACCATTTTAACCATTTTTAAGTGTGCAGTGGCATTAAGTACATTCACAGTGTTGTGCGACCATCACCCACGAACTTCGGCATCCTCACAGTTTGACACTCTACTCATTAAACACTAACTCCCCCTTCCTTCCTCCCCACAGCCCCTGGCAAGCACCATTCTACTTTCTGTCTCTACGATTTGACTACTGTAGTTACTTCACATAAGTGGAATCATCCAATATTTGTCCTTTGGAGTCTGGCTTTTGTACTTAGCAGAGTGTCCTGAAGGTTCGTCCATATTGTGACACATGACAGAATCTCCTTCCTTTTTAAGGCTGGATAACACTCCACTGCATGGATAGACCACATTTTGTTTACCCGTTCATTTGTTGATGGACTTTTGGTCCTCCGACCACTTTGAATACTTTAGTGTGTTGTAGGGTTTTTTTCTACTTTTTCTATTTTCCTATGAGTTCACATATACATGCGAACGTTTTCTTATATAAACAAGATCATGCTATGTGTTTTGTCCTATAGCTTGCTCTTTTACAATTTAATTTTTATGTTCATGATATAATGTATGAACCTACTTAATACAAAAAATACTATGAGGTTTGGAGTGAGAAGCATCCACCCCTGTTCCACCCCCTTCATCCCTCATCCCCTTTCCTCACTGGCAAACACTTCCAAGTCTTTCATTGGATTCTTATGTTATTTACCTCTATTTCCTTAAAAGCATGCGTAAGCAGCTACTTCTTGATTATATAATGACTTACTCATATAAAAAATGAAGATTCCCACTAATGCCCACTTTCTTTCCTTATTCCCCCAAATCCGTGCATCCCCATTTTTACTTAAATCACTATCCAGTGTTCACATCGCTGTGACTACATAAGTATTATTCTCAGCCATGCCCCTTAGTGTACCATATTTCATTTCCTTTCTTTCACAACTTCTGGTGTTCTCTTGGGCTAACAATTGCCCCTTTTATTCATTTGCTTAGTTTTGTATAAACTCATCACTCACTGGCCTCCAAACTTTTGGATACAACAGTTGCAC